TCTTCTGGGAAGCAGCGGTGCGCCCTGTTTGTTGCCCAGCGATTGCTCGTTAAAAGTCCGAGTTTTGGCTAATGCCGCCTTTGCTGATACTGGGGATGCTGGTCCGGTGATCGATTGCAGTGAAAAACAAAATGCGTTGGAGGTGAACTGCGTTTTTAGATACGAATTGCAAAACTGTCAGTCTTAAAAGTCCGGTCGCGATAGCTTCCCTCGGGCCGTTGCTTTCACTTTTGCTTCCTGATACTGATCTCCGAATGTGCATGGGAAGAGCAGAGTTGAGAGGGTGGTAATGACAACGGGGTAGGGAGAAATACTGTTAGCAAAACTCCGGTTACCTAGTTTCCAGACCTTTATTAATTTATTATTGTAGTTATGAAAAGTATATGGTTTTAAGAAATCAAGGGAGTACAAATCCAGCTAGAGCACGGGTCTGTTTACTTGCATACATCCTTACTTGTGTGTGCCTGGCCAGGAGTCACATCTGAGAGGTTTGTATGGCAAGTTGTGAGAAGTTTGTTTTTACAGTCAGACTTGTTGAGCAGAACCTATTAGAAACAGCTTTTATCTAAAACTATATCAACTCGCAGAAGAGTAAAGCTACTGGTTTGCCTTGTTATTCATACAATTCAGGCCTTTCTACTGAAATACGTTGTAAAACTTGTAGGATATGGTTAAGTGTAATTCCAAATTGTCCCCTTGATTTCAGTCTGCCACTGAGAGCCTATCCAATTTTAACATTTTACCAGTGAAGTAAACATAGGCGGAAGAATGGAAGCCCACATTTTCTGCACTTTTCCCCCCCCTTTTTTTTTCTTCCTACCTTACTATGTTATTTGTCTACTCTCGGATTATGTTATAATAGAGTTTAATATCTCCTGATTTTCCAGTTAGTCATTAGGCATAAATGTCCTTGGGGTATGCTTATTGTTTCACTTATTATAGTTTCAGGTTTTTTGTATTGTCTTTCAAGGTTGGACTCTGTTAACTTAAGTATGTGTTGGATCAAGGCCATCTTAATTTAAAAATATCACTGGCAGTGTTTTATGCAAGACAATAACATTTTGATAACATTTGGTGTGGGTGGGCAAAAGACAAGGCGAGAGCAAAAAGAGAATTGTTACGCAGAGGAAATTTGTTATTAGGGGAATAAATTGCTTTTATCAACATTTGTGATATTGTTGAGGTTTTTCCTTCATTATTAAATACTAACAAACTCGAACACTTGCAAATGCATTTATTTTTATAAGTTGTGATTTTTATTTAAACAAAATATTTGTACAAAAAAAAATCCTACTAGTTTTGAATAGCAGACAACTCGCAAATACGTGATTTCTTTAAGTATATACTTTGTTGAAAGGCAGTGCTGCTGTTCTCATGAATGAAGAAAAAAATCAAATTATTCAAGATCCGAGTCAGAATTAAGAATGTGAATATATATTCTTAGGAAGTTCTGAGGCCTTTCCTTCTAACTTATAGAAATGGGAGCAGTGTAAAAGCTATTTTAATAAGAGAACTGTTAAATCCTGATCATTCTTAACTAGACTGAAGCTTCTGTTGAGGTCTAATGGTCTCAAGTATTCTCTTTGGAAAAAACCTTCCTTTGCTTCTTTTGGTCTTAGTAGTACTGTTTTCAGTTGTAGCTTATGCCACTTGTGATCATCTCCAGTTAAAATACTAAAAGCTTTTTGGGTAGTGGAAGTTTTAACAGAACTATGCACTTAATTATTTTCACTTGAGGTTCTCAGCCTTTTTGGCTTTGGACTAAACAAGCTTTCTGAGTGTGTCTTACGAGAAAGGAAAGGAGGTAGAAATGTGTTTTCATGCAAATACCATTTTCATGAAAAGATACAGGACCATGGGTAGTTACTAGGATATTATGGGTAATAAAAATTAACAGTCTTTGCTTTATAATACATTTCTGAAACATTGTATATTTTCTGTTTGCTCTATATCTAGAGGTACTTTTATTTAGTGTTTAAATAAAACTCTTTAGCTATTACAGTTCTTAGTATATTAAAACTTAATCCTTAATTAAAAATACTCCCTTCAGAAAACGGGAAGTTTAATCTTGGAGCTTGGATCTCGCATGCAGAGGATCTTCAATGAGAAGTGTGTGGCATACTTTTTTCATTATTCAGGTTTGGGTTAATAAAATTAAAAGCGTGTGAGAACACCCTCAGTACGTCATTCACACTGCATAGTCAGTCTGAGAGTACTCTCCGCATAGCTGAAAGCGTTACTATGTTGAGTATGTCAGCTTCTAAAACAGTGGTTGATCAGAGAAACTGTTTAAAGGTAGGAACAAATGCAACGAAGGTAGGAATAAATCTCAAAGTTCTAACTAAATCTTCGTTCTTGCGGTGGGGGGTAAAGACATTGGAAGTTACGATGTTCATGTGCATATATTAATAAATAGAAACATGGCTGTTAGGGGAATTACTGTCCTGGTATCCTTTGAGGTTGTACATCACAGGTGTTCTGTGGTATATGTTTTTAAACATCTTGATTGCATGATTGGTTTTTCTTTTTGTAAGTAGACTTCATATTTTTTTAATATGCACTTAAGCAGTTAGTCCTGGTGACAAAAAGTAAAAGCTTTGCCCTGCAGCATATGAATTGGATGACAATGCAGCCCTCAGTTTACTGATTCTGTTGCTCAAAGCCATGTTCAGATATAAAGTAGAAGTGCTAATTAGTTTAATGAGTAGCCTTTCTTGGACCTTGGGGAAGCATGATAGAGAGCCAGCATTCAGGGTGGTTAGTCCCTGGACCGATGTCTGCAGTATCTCTGCTGAGTTTGTACGCTGTGCACCTGATGATTTCTCACTAAAATCTGTCCTGTGGCAAACAGGACAATTGGTTATTGACTTTCTACTAACTACTGTGCATACATACCTCAAAATTGATGTGCATTTTTAGTAGGGACTCTCTCTTCAAAAAGTTTGTTGTCATGTGGCCCTTAATTTTTGAGATGTGGTTCCATTGTTAGTAATTATTTAAAATGTATGGATTCCTAAAGATGATTAGGTGATTGCTTGTGCCTCTACAGTTGCTATAGTACAAATATAACACCTGTATGCAGGTCTGAAAAGGGGTCTATAAAGTTTATGTATTTCGGTCAATTGTGTTTGCTTCAAACTGCTGTTAAGGATTCTGTTCCTTTTATTTCTGTAAAAGTGAAAAGTCTGTCTCTTGTGTGTTTATAGATTGATTTGGATACTATTGATGTCAGCAATCTCAACAGGCAGTTTTTGTTTCAAAAGAAACATGTTGGAAGATCAAAATCACAGGTGAGGAAAAAGTTAAAGCTCATGCCATACTTACTCCGTATTATTTTATGGGCAGTGTTAGAAACATGTCGGTTTTGCTTCTACTCTGAAGAGGTAAGTGTTGGTTGGTTGACCATGGCTATCCACATAATTTCATTATAAAAGTATTTAAATCTCTTAAGGTAGTCAACTTACTCGATACTCAACTGGTATCGAGTCTATCTTTAGAAGGAAGGAAGAAATAATAAGTGGTTTTTTTGTTTTTGTTTTTTTTTTATTTCTAGGTTGCCAAGGAAAGCGTGTTACAGTTTTATCCAGAAGCTAATATTATAGCTTACCATGATAGCATCATGAAGTATGTTTGTTTTTAAGCTCTAATTACACATTTTGATTTGCAAGTACTGTGTTATTTAAATGCTAAAATGGTGTGCTTTAAGATATTTTACCAAGTTACTGCAGTAAGAAGAAATAGCTGTAAATATGAGACTACCACACACCTGAGTGGGAAGTGTGGATTTTGCATGAGTTTTCTTAAGCTCTGGTAATAAGATGTAGTTGTTTGCTTGTGTCTATTTTTCATTTTATTAGCAACATTTGCTCTATAAGTTTCTACACTGTAAGGATGCCCTGATATCTTGAGCAATAATTAGATTAAAATCAATGTGAATGATGAGTCTGTGATTAAAAAAAAATAAGTCCTCTGTGTGTGTGTAGGTAACTGAGTATTTCTTATATATGCCCCAAACTGTTAAAATTTAGTCTTTATGATCCATAACCAATGAGCAGAGTACAAGATTATGTAGATTTTTATTAGCTGTTTCCCATGTTTTAATTTATATTTGTCCAATTTCTTAAAAAATTATATTCTGTAATATTAAGTTTTGAACTCTGATGTTGCTATTAGCCATTGAAACACTGACTCATTGCATCCTTCTCCTGAAACTGTAAAACTGTTAATCCCATTTCCTCTTTACTATCTCTTCTTTGCCACCTTCTTCTTTAAATCAGAAAAATACAATACTAAAGTCTCAAGACTTTAAAATTTCATGTCTTGGCTCCTAAGGGTATGAAGGCACGATCAACACCAATCGAGCTATCATAGTATAATGAATTATCAACAGTCTGATGAGCTATGGTAATTACAGTGTGCACATTTTAGCCTCAGCTGATGGTTTTTAAGGTCAGTTACCCACAGCTCAGCCAATTTACTCATTAGGTCAGAGCAGTATAATCACTTTTTTGTTGTTTGCCTGTTTCATTGGTCAAATTAGTACTAATTGCAGTAGCTTCCTTCCAGCAGCATAAAATTTGTGCTTTCACCCAGCTTTAAAATGGGCAGAAGACAAATGGGGCAGTTAAAGGCTAGGAGTAAATTTATAATATGTGTAATATATCACATGAACATCAGCCTACCCTTTGCATGTATATAATTTCTGTTGTGGCATAATAACCAACAACTTTGATATGCCATTTTGAGTATTGTTTTTCTTTTCTGTAGCCCTGACTATAACGTAGAGTTCTTCCGCCAGTTTACGTTGGTTATGAATGCTTTGGATAACAGAGGTGAAGTTTTCACTATGATTTTATATTGGATATGAAAATACTGTTGCTTGTTCGTAGAAACAGAACTTTAATGTGTTCTACTCTTAGTACTTCTGCAATGTCAGTTAAATAACAAGTATCCTGCTAACCCATTTGTAGTTTGACTAATGCTTGTGTGCTTTACTAGAAACTTGAAAGGCTAGTTAATGCTTTTACAGGTGGTTTTTTTGAAGGTAAACATTAACTGCTATGTTGCTGCTTTATGGGAACTGATGAGTATTGTGTGTATGTATGTAACTTCATTCAGCTGAGTTTGCTACGTTTAATAGTGTTGATATATTTTGTGTTAATTGGAAAATTGACTGTGAAAAGGGTGTAGTGCTCTGTAATGAAATAAAGCAGATTAAGAACAAATGCTTGCATAGGAGGCTAGCTTGAATTTGGAGAAGTAAGTATTTTATTCTCTAATTATTGAATTCTTTCTTTAAAAACTCTTGATTTGCAGCTGCCCGTAACCATGTGAACAGGATGTGTCTGGCTGCTGATGTTCCTCTTATAGAGAGTGGAACTGCAGGCTACCTTGGACAAGTAACGGTTATTAAAAAGGTTAGGTTGTGTATTACTCTTGTCGCTTTACGTTTAAATCATTGGCTATTTTAGACAACAGGGAGTTGGGTGTTTTGAGATACAGTTACAGTTCATCTGGTAATAGTACATACTATCAGGAGACTTCGCAATATGACAAGTAAATATTTCACTTTTCACCAGGGAGTGACAGAATGTTATGAATGTCACCCTAAGCCAACTCAGAAGACTTTTCCAGGCTGCACAATCCGAAATACGCCATCAGAACCTATCCATTGCATTGTGTGGGCTAAGTATTTGTTCAAGTAAGTGATTTTTTTAAAAAAAGAAATTAGGTACTGTGGTTCGCT